AATAAACAAAACTTCATTTATAAAAACATATGTCAGTCCAGATTTAGCCCACAAACCTTACTGTGCCAACCCCTGGAGTAAACAAATGAAATGTCTTTGCAGCAGTGCCTATCTCTTAAACTTAATGTGACATAAAGATACTTAATAAAGGAGTAAACATATAGAGAGAGCTCTCCAAAGACATTTATCTGAAATTCTTGGGCAACTAAAATTAGCAATTAATAATTTCATTTTGATTTACAGTACATAACCTTCTCTTTTTTTACTTATACATAACATTCTTAACTAACTATATTAAATCAACTAACAAGCACGGATATATGTTATGCATTACCAAAGTATTCTGATATTAATATTGATATATCTTTAGAAATAAAACCATGATGGGTTATAGAGTATAAGAAAAGCATGCATTGAGTAATTAAAAATACTTAAAAACGATTGCCCTTGACTTACAGTATTTTTTAACATTATACCTTAAAGCAACTTAAAACTGTTTTATAAAAATATTATTATAGTATAAAAGATATACCTGTTTTATCTTTAAAATCCAAAGAAAAATATTCAAAGTCTTGTAGATTAAACTCCACTCTGGCACGTGTTATACCTTTGTTTTTTATTATAAATGGAATAATCTGAGTAGCACCAACATAGGTACCACTGAAGTTAAATACGTCCTAAAATTTAAAAAGAGAAAAAGAATCAGAAAGCAGAGTAATATTTTATGAAAATAATGTAAACCTAAAATTACACTTTAAGAGAGTAGACCTTAAAGTTCTCATCACATGAAAAAGAATGTAACTATGTTTGGTGACGGATGTTAACTAGACTCATTATGGTGATTATTTTGTGATACATACAGATATCGAATCATTATTTGGTATATCTAAAATGAACATGTTATATGTCAATTATACCTCGATAAAAAATGTATACTGTTATTTTTCCTCAAGGACATTATTAACTACTGTACTCTAAAAAAACTGGTCACATTTTCCTTCCTCTCCCCTACCTCCTATACTTAATCAGTTACCAAATCCCATTTATTCTGCCTCCTTCACCTCTTATTCCTAACGTAATTGTATGAAGCTAATAACGCATCACTTTTCCTTTCATTTCTAGATTTGTACTTTCTCCAATTCTCCTCTCCACAACTAAGTCGCAATTAAATTAACTGAAAATCTGCACTTGCTATCTTAAGATGTGATGATTCTCCTCCAACTACCGGACAATGTCCAAGTTCCTTGGCAGGGCTCATAAAGCTCATCTTGACCTTCCCCTGCCTCACCTAGCTCCACTCTTACCCTAATCACTTCATACTTCAGCAAGCTGTATGACCTGTCCTTTCCAACCAATACCTGATGCTTCATCCTCCTGTGTCTTCATCAATGTGTCCCTTCTGTTAGGAAAGCTTTTCTCTAACTCATAATTGCTTGATAAGATATTATGTATCTTTAAA